CTGCTCCAGTCACCATGGCAGGGCATTATCTTGTAAAACCACAACCACTACATGATGATTAAAGTCTGGCTTGGGTACCTGTTAAACCATACCAAAAATGCAGAGGATTTAAATGTCCAACACAAATGGTCTTGTGCAAATGCAAAAGACTTTGCAGCACAAAAGTGATGGATTAGATTTACSTTTAAACCCCCTACAAACACAGTGAAGAGGAGCAGGTGAGACCCTGAAGCTGGGCTTGGGGCTGCACAGTGCAGAAGTCACCCTGAGTTGCACTGAAATCAGCCCAGATTTTCACCCTCTGATGTGCTCCAGATTCAGATGCCTGAAATCCGTGTAAAAGCCCATCCATTTAGGAACACACCGTGCCTGCGCTGGCTGTACCCCAGAGCACAGGCAAGGATATTTCTCTCAGCTRTTGGCAAAAGAACAGCCTTGACTCTATTCCATGGCAATTCCAACAGGTCTCAGGCCTCGCCAGCATTTCCTAGAAAGGCTCAGAAATGCTGAATACAGCAAGTGAGGGATTCTGCTGCTCCTCCTCACAGTCTCACCTCATGCTTGGGGCAGTGTTCCACCAAATCCTGTCAATGCACCCACCAGGCTCCATGGGAAGACAGCCCATGATGAGCAACATCACCCTGACTGCAAGGAGAAGAACGGTACAATTGCAAACTGCTGCATTCCATGAAATGGTACAGCTTTCAAGAACAACAGGAAAATTTCCCATATGAAGTAACTCCAGTGCCCTTGCACTGCAGGACGAAGTAGAGATGTGAGAGGTCTACACGCTGCTCTTCACACAGCGCTCCCTTTCCAGGGTGTGCAGGCAGAATGCTCTGAGCACAGAAAGGTTAAAGCTCAGAGGCTGCTGTATAACCAGCTGAAGAGCTTAGTCATGAAAGAAGATTTGATTCAATTTCCGGGAATCAAAAAGGAGTTTCAGTTTCAGTTTGAATATGATGATTTCCCTTATCAAAACTAACAGCTTCAATTAGATGCAATAAGAAAGGGCAGTACAAAATAAAACAAGAAGTCTTGGCTTGATTATTTTAAACCGTAAAAAACTGACATTTAAAAAAGCAGAGGATTAATTCCTTATTTTCCTTTGCTTGCATGCACAGCTTTTGATTTACCTACTAAATTATCTTTTTCTCAACCCACAAGTTTTTCATTTCAAATCTTCTGATTCCCTCCCTGATGAGGCTGGCAGGGGAGTGAGCCAGTGACTGCCTGGTGCTTTGCTGCTGGCTGAGGTTAAACCTGGACAGCATGGTAAGAGCAGGCAAAGCCAGCCAGCCTCTCCCAGACAGCT